AATTGGGTTAAGAATATCGTTAATGTCGAACAACTATTGTACGATGCTATTGTTCCGTTTGCTGGATAGATACATCAATCATTATAATGAGATTTCGACAGTAAACGGTGTGTTAATAGTATACGCAAATATTGGTCAGTGGACATGTAACATTTTCTTTTGCATATAGTAATTCTTTCTTTCAGGTTTTTGTCCTCCACATCTCTAGCATACGCCATCTCAGACATCACTCCCTTCTTGATCATGTCATTTTTATCTTCTACCTTACCTCCACATTCATAACTAACTTTCTTGTTACATTCGTCCCTCCATTACTTATACTGTTACTGAAGACACCATTGAGAGTTATGCAAGGTTAAATTCTACAAGCAACCTATCATTATCAAAGGTATTACTGAATGGTAGGACTAGGCCTAGTTCAGTAAATTTCTCCCATACAAGCATCCTATACGCATCCATAAATCCCATTTCCTACAAGTCGATTTTAGTTTGTAATACTGACAAACATTCCAGGCCCCGATCTTTTCTCTAATCAATTAGATCTTACTGTCAGTTAAATTTGTTACATATCTCAATATTAATCCGATTATCAAAGTTCCAATACTTTTAATAACTCGTGACTGTGGTTATTGTAAATTTGTTCAAACATGTCTTCCTAGTTACCCAGAACGTTGTCATAAGACCGCTGCAGCCATGACTTCCACTTAACCGTTCGATTATCCGTTCAGTTAAATCACAATCGTATTGACAACAATATCGATTCTACGAACACGAGTTGATTCGTGAGCTCTCTATTAAGTAAAATAGTTTTATACTTCATGCATTTGTTGTATACTTTTACATCCGAATGTCTTTAAAACTATTAGACTATACCTTTCTGTTTACTAAATTGTTAGTACGTATATTTTAAGACTAGCTGTTGCTCACGACTTCGCTCGCGTGAAATTAAAATATATAGCCTATGTTACTCACAGATAAATTAGCTTTCTAACGTTGAAGGAATTTTTAAAATTGGCCCAGTAGTTTTTGAGTTATTTCAATACATACAAAAATACAAAATCTTCTCTCTTTATAATATTAGAATAGAGTATAGGTTAAAGATGGGAAATTAAAAGAGAATAGAAAACTGTAAATTTCTGAACTTGAAGTGTCAACAATTCTATAATTTTTACTAAATTATCTTAATCGTTACTGCCTAAAACGAATTTTATCTGTTAATAGCTACAATTAATTATACATAGTTAAAGGTAATATGGCTGTAATCGTGCTTAAGTATTGCTAAGCTAGATTTCACATCTAGTCTAATAAACTCACATTACAAGACACGCTTTCAGTAGAACTAATAAATCATAGGAGCAACCGGCAACCGCTTTGATCTGCCGTTACCTTCGACCCTATCATTAATTTTATACGTACAACGTCCACGTTTAAACATTAATGAATTACTCCTAAGCGATTTTATGTAAAATTTACTTGACACATGATTAACATAGGGACAGCTTTGATTTGCTGGTATACCTTGCCCCCCTCTTCTCTAACTAGACAGACGATAGAGGGGTAATGAAGAATCGATCCAAGGGTCGTCTATCGTAAGTCTTCTGTGGGGTCTGGTTAGTGAAGAGTCGATCGTTTGTACTAAAATTACCGTATGAATAATACATGTTATTTGTTTTTATTAATATAATTGATATGGTTTTAACTTACAAATGTGTTACTGCATTAATAAATAACAACGCACATTAAAGGTAATGACGTGAAGCAATTTGTGATTTCAGAGATCAACATTATTTTTGGTACTTGTCAGCATGTTCACTTTAGTAATTTAAATTGTAACAATAACCTTAGTCGATACTTAACGAAATACTTTAATTAATTTGGTAATTACTTTGGATGATAACAATATAGGATTCGATTTATTTTAAGTAAAATACAGAAAACTAGAAAGTTATTTGAAGCTACCTGATTTTGCATAAATAGTAAAATGACCACTGCCTCCATGCATCTCTAAGTTGGCGATCTGTTTCCTACTTTAAGTGGACAGAGAAAAGATCGTACACAGAGAACAATCCCATTCCTATAAGCCCCGTTCTCTGTCGAATCCAATTCCCCTTACCTATATTTCTCAACAAATTCTTTCACAACTACGATAACGAAATTGCAAGAGCGCTCTGTAGTTAGAATCCATTCATAAATTACATTTACGTTCCACCGTTACCATCTAAAGTCGTTACAGTGTGCCTAACAAGTAAATCGATTTAATAGTTATTATATCAAATTGCTCGTGTGCCCAGTAATTGATTGTGATACTTGAACCTGGTGTTAATACTGATGATAAAGTTACCGCATTATTAATTATTGTCCCTCGAAGATCTATCAATTATTAAGTATAACTCTTGGCCTACTGGCTTAGTCAATATCCTATATTGCTTTATGGTCAAACAATTACTTTGTAGATTGTATATTTTTACATTAATAGGAAGTTAAAGGTAACCTTTTTTAGGTTAGGTTTACGGTAGATTTTGTATTTTGGCACATGTGAATTCGAAATCATCAGATTTTTCGCAACTGTAAATTAGAAATACCTACACACGTAAACTGTGTTGCTGTAAAATAATTATATAAATAGAATTAACTGTCCAGTGTATTTAATAAAATAATTGCTGTTTTGTTATTTTTCTATTAAAAAAGCAACTATTAATTAAATTGAAAATCACCAGTTCTAATTAAGCTGCGTTCTATACCTTTGTTAATGTAAATGACAGTATACAGGATGTTTGAGAAGTCCGCCTGGGGCGTGGGGGACAGGGGCGTGGGGGACAGGGGCGCGGGGGACAGGGGGCGCGACGTTCGCTGTGCTGATAGCGGTCGCCGTCCGCGGAGTAATTGCCACCGCTTTCTAAACCGACTCGTATACAGCGCGATTTCAAATCCGCGAGACCCCCGTATAGCTGTTTAGAATCCGGGAATAGAATCAGATGTACCTGGGTGCTACAAAGGTTAATAGCAAGTCCATTACAGATAATATTTTGAGATTACGCCAAGGATGCGATTCAGTGGCATAATGTTAGAAGGTTATATGCTAAAGAATTGTAATATTACTTGAAGATTAAATTATAATAAGTTGTAATCTGAACCGGTTTTTAGTTTTTATTACCCTTCCTATTTTTTGAGGGTGTCGTTGTTATTATTTTTGGCATATCGCATTTTTTTAGTAATTACAACAATATTGGAGGTCATTTGTTTCGTTTTATTTGTCATGTGTTTTTTTGCTTTTTCATTAAAGTTCCTTAAACAATATTGTAATTATTTCGGAGATACTCTTTCAAAATTTGTTCATTAAATAAACCAGTACAATATTTTAGGGTTCAGTTTCTCGCCGAAAACTTATTAGTTGACAAATCTGATTTCTCTTTTTGATTTGGAACACGCTGTATAATGACTGTCACCTGGACGACTTGCGTGTCTTCTCTAATGGTCGTACAGAAAAAAGGCTCAATTGCTCGCAATTGATGAGTGCAGCCGAGTTTGCGAGCGATCTCGGCGCACGACCGCGACACCTGGCGCGCAACCAGAACACGCCTCGCGGCCGCCAACCGCCATAGACACGCCACCGCCACAGATTAAGTGACGGCAGATGTTACACTTCTGCTCGTGAAATTAAATAACGTATCTGCTTTTTTTGAAGTGGTAAATTATAAATTCATTAGGCATTCAGTGAATATTGAATTTCAAATGTGTTAACTCTTTAGTATTTTTGCTTAATTAGGATATTAGTTAAATACTAAACAAGTCTAATAATATTAATGAAAAAAAAAACAATGTAAAATTTTTTTCATAAATGCAGTATTACAAATGAAGTACGGATATCAAATTTTGATGCCAGATTATTCAATAGAAAAATGATTTTTTGTAACAAAATTATCACAAACACATCTCTATCAAAATGTCGTTTAAAAAGATACGGTTGTCTATTTTATCTGTGCTAAATGGAAGCGTGCAACGCGAACGTGGGCCGCCGCGGGCTCGACGCGTGCGCCAACCGCTCCTTTGAAAATGGAACGCTTGTTCGCTGTTTAAATTCGACCATTGTCACGGAATGGAAATTTAAAAATAAACTTAATTGTGGTATCAAATGGGCACCTTCTCAGTAGAAAGTAGGGTAGGGCTGTCTGATGTAATTTGCGCTTAGATTGTGTGTATCTATCGTATGAACATTTCGTTGCTATTAAATTATCTAAACATTTTTACATCGAAGCACAAATTTACGAGTTTTGTTTTTAAAGTGGTAATTACAGATTTTAAGCACATAACTGTAGAAATAAAAGAAACAGTAAAAATATCTATTAAACAACGTACTCACCGTAAACACTGAAGCCACATTTTCTATAAACACCTCAAAGTTTTTGCTCTTTTTACTCAGTAAGCGGTACTACGATAATGAGTGTCAATGTTTTGCACCGAGAGATATCGCTAGCACAACAGTGTAATAACCTCCGAAACGAACAGCATCCGATGAATTATCTGAACCGTAAAATATCGATTTTAACGCTCTGACCGACCCGCACTGATTTTCCGCACCCATAGCTTTGACGATTCGATGAAAAACAGATACGAAAATCGATCATTAATCGAATAAAAAATGTCTTTTCTCACTTTAATTTGGTAGTTGAGATGATGTTGTTTTTGTTTAAATTTTTATTTTAGAATCGAAAGCAAAAACTACTCGTCAGTTCATTTTAGTTCAATCGTATCGTGAACGTTGTAATTTGAATAAACTTGGACCTAATTGTTAAGAAGATTTTAACCATATCCTATTCAAACTAAAATCATCGCCTATTGGCCAATATGTCGAATAGTTAACTATTGTGTTACCTCCGGTAATAGTTTTACCTAAATCGTTATAGTTCACAATCAAAAGTGTTTAGTTGCTTTAATGTGGAAACTATTAGTATCCATAGCCAGTATAAGAAGGTCCGTGTACAGTGGTGTGTTCGTTGTAGGCTAGTGCGATGTTACGGTGGGCGGAGGCGCTGCCGGTGTGATGCTGGCCCCGCTGTCGCGCCGCGATCTGGACGCAGAGGCGCCGGTCGTCTGGCCAGCCTGGTGCTATTCAGGTATACACCACTTATCTTAACACGCTACTACGAATGTAGTATTTGTAAACATCCTTTATGTCAATAACTAATGTAAAAGTAGGCGTAACGTTATTGAAGGATTTTAGAGCACTCTATATATCGCCTAAGTAGTATTTTATAGTTAGATTATGCACATTCTTTTTAACTTTTGCATAAAATCAGTAGTTAATTAATTGAAATTACACACCAATAAAATGTTTTGGTACTTTTTTAGCTCTGGTTATCAAAAAAAGGTGGTAATACTTGTTACGGAAACGACGTTTGATAATCATCTTGTTAGTTACTTTTGTTTAAGCAATTACCATTCCACATTCAATTAGAGATACCTAGTTTAAAGGTAGTCAAGTAAAGTTAGGTCTGACGTTAACGGGCGTCTATTACACGGTAGCGGTCGTGCAAAGGTTCGCGGCGAGTTACCGGCTGCATAACTAGCTGTGTCGAGGTGGGTGGCGCAGCGGCAGGTGCATTACCATACATCCTCCGACCAGACCGACATCACGACCAACTTTTTTCGATCGTACTATACCCATTAGCGATCCCTTTACTAAAAGATTTTCTAATTAGAATGGGATATTTTTTGTTATTGTGTTGATTTAAAAGTTTTTGTCTATTAAGGTAATACTTCGTCTATGGGTAATTAAAAAAGTACTTATTCTAGTAACAAGTGTTGCCACAGTATGATAGTCATTGGCAATGTAGGTACCCAAAAGAAAAAAATCGTTTCAGTAGTTTTAATTTAATTAATATAAATAAATCTTTCCTATGAATAATTTTAGTAGACCAGAATTTTTGACATCTAAATTTAATTAATTTTAAAACCATTAACTACAACAGTGATTTAGCAATAAAAAAATTGGTGGAAGTGCGTAATAAAAAAAATTAAATCTTCAAATGATTGTTGCCGCAATCTGTCAAAATGATGAAGATATTCCCGCTCTCGACTTTCTAAGTGGACAATTTAGAAGAAAACGTGCAGTAAGTTAGTTACCGCCAATCGCAGTGGCAGCGGTAAATAAAAAGGCCGTAAAGTCGCAGAGTAGATAATACACGTGATGTTGTCATTACCCTTGCTGTATCGCGTGGCAGGTACAGTTGACAAGAAAGTATCTCGACATTCCAGAGTAGTGATCGACTTTAGTTGTAAAATTGATCAAATGTAATAGAAAGACATTAAAATATGCCCTGAAATTTATCAGAGAAGATTACATTAAATAAATAAATTCTTAAATGTTTTTAAAAAGTTTGCATCATGACTTATTTGAAAAAATAAAACAATGTTATCTTGCTCATTATTAGGAAAAATATTAAAACAGCATAATATTTAAAGTTATGTAACGTGTGATTCAATTTAGATAAAAACTTATTAGTTTGTAAAATCATTTAAAAAATAATTACAAAAATGTTTCATGCTGACTGTACATATTTGGAAGCCGCGATGGCCTGTGAAATTGACGGCCGGTCATTTTTGTTGATTGCTTATAAAGAGTGGAGACAGTAAAGCTGGTCGTACACGAGATTGAAACAATTACTGAATCAATTGAAGGTGTTGAACAATTACAGCAATCATGTCAGATAATATGTCTTTATACATTATTCTTGTGCATTACGTCATACACAGTTACTTTATAACTTATCACAACAGACACCTTGGCTTGGTGTTGCTAAGTTGTAACAAGTACTTTAAACTATTATTCACGATAGGTTAAGTTTACTATTTTAGGTGTTTGTTATATGATGATATAAATGAAATTTAAAACGTTGCACAAACAGAAGTATCCTATATATTAATGAGGTTAGTTTAGCACAAGTTTTATTAAAACAAAACTTTCATTCGGAGTACTAAAGTAGATATCATTCGATACGTAACCTACGATGTCACAGATCGAAGAGAACATATATCGCACTGTATTCGCATATCCATAAACTAGTCTCTGTTTCTATCTTGTCTCCTGCTGCCAGTACTAAATCCAGCTAAAATCTGAAGCAGTAGCTGTGCGAAATTCTCCTACGTCATCGCAGACATGCGATGGATTTACGACGGACCCCCATCGAAGATTGCTTCAATATTTATGAGAGTAATAGTGTTATCCTTAAAAGTATAGAATTCAATCAATCAATATGTAGCAGATATTTATATTCATTTTCATTGCTCTCCATCCTCCATTGAAAAAGTAAAAACCCTTTTTTATAAAAACACTAGTAGTGCCCGCTTTAACATAGCACGAATGGCCCGACACGCCCGGTGTAATATCACGACCATACAGAAAACAGGCGTGAAATGGGAGCAATTCCGTGTTTCGTCTGATGAGTGTGGTGTCGGAGGCCTAATTTTAGTCCCTTTCTCTTTACCACCCTTTTCTTATAAAAAGAGGATGGGAAGAGGAACTGAATTTGACGGTGGAGGAGATGCATAGGAAGGGAAAATATCCTCTTTATGTCCGTCTTCACCTCCGTCGGATAAGGGTAGGCAACGCATCTGCAATTGCGTATGTCTATGGGCAGCGGTTGCTTCGCCATTTTGGCTGAATCAGGTGGCCGCTTGCTCGTTTGGCACCTTAAGTTATAAAAAAAAACACTTCTGAATGTATCTCCACATATAAATATGTAAACATTTGGATTAATCGTTTAGAATATAAGAAACGAGGTAACTCTTTATCAAAGTTACTTGAATAAAGTCTTGCTATAAAAGCTCGTAAAATGGAAACAGCGCTCGATCTTCGACGTAGCATCTAAATTCGTTCGAACAGTCACGCTCCGGGCTCATTGAGATGCAACTGCAGCCTTACGATATTAATATCAGCCCAACGGAACTAATACGCGCTGAAAGCATTAACATAATAAAACGATATTAGTAAATAGAAGACGATCGGAGTTTAAATGTGACGCATTTGTTACTCCGACCGCATGCTGCTCACAAGTCGCCGTCTCACCTTCATCCGAGTTATCTTATCGATATTTAAAACCGATTCCGATATCCGATACGATTGGTACTTAAGATTTTAATACGTAATCGATTTTACGGTTGATGTTAAAACTCGATTTGCGTATTTAATTAATCGTGAAGCTTTAAGCGAAACATCGTACATTCGACTTCAAGCATATGTAATTATATTTAATAGTTTTTCATGTTTTCAATTATTTAATTAAATAAACTTAATTATTCTTTTTCAGACTGAAATGTAAATATAAGAATTTGTTATAAAAGAAGGCGTGATAAAATTATATTACAAGTTTATGTTGAACATTTTTTTTTATTTCCGTATCTTGCAATGTATTTACATTTCAAAAGATATTTCTTTTAAGTTTAATTCATTCATTAAGAATGCGAACTTATCAGAGGTTTTAGTAAATATTGGAACATTTTAAATGCGTCGTCCTTACAGAGACAGTTTTATTTTAATATTAAAAATACACAAATTTTAAAGGTAAAGAGTAAAGTTACTTTGTTTTATTTATAATACATCATTATATTGTTAAAGATATTAGTAATCTATTTAAATACCGATATTCAAAAGCGATAGTAAGGGTCAAAAGTTTTTAGACAAAAGGCAAATATTTATTTAATTACACAACAAAATTAAATTAAGCCAACCCTCAAGAAAAAGATTTTATCGCAACATACTGTAATGTACATAATTAGGCAAAGAGTGTGCTGCCATAAAAGCATAAGCCACATTGAATAAGTATCAATTTAAATAAAGTAAATCCGCTTCATAACGATCCTTTCGTCATTCAAAACATATAATACCAAAAAGGGAGAAATTTATAGCTGATATTGAAATTAATAAAAATACTCAATCGCATTAAAATTTAATGCTTGATACAGTTTTGGTATCTTATCCGATTGTGGATAAAAAAAACTTCGTACGTTCGTTAACTGCGGCTTATTCTGATATAAAACGCAAACGACACATAAATGTTATTCTGTAACGATGGGGAACTCGAATGTAACCTTAATGACCTCGACCGAACCCGTTTACATTGAGGGGAAGTTTGCGCTCCTTTTACACGGGCAAAAAGCTGCGGTTTCAGACAAAGTGTTTTGTTTTTCTTTTTTTATGGCCCACTGTATATTCAATGATGTATATATAAATATACAGTCCGCTTAAAGAGAGATGCAACTTACGCATCGATAAAGAACGGCTCCTTGTCACGGAATCAACCCGTCAGAGGCGAAGTTGGAGCGATAAAGCCTTATTCAGATGTAAATCGCACTTCTAGATTTGTCGTATCTTACGATGCTAACATATTCGTCTTATATGTTAAAAATGAGAGAATCTTTAGATTTTTTGGTGTAAAATAACAGACTTGTGTTCTGTGTTGCTCACATTCGCATTATATTTTCTCCATAACTAGTAATGAACTTTAGAAATCAATAAGCAATTATTGTCAGAACTGCAAGTACAATAATTGTATGGACAATTAAAACAGCACAAGATATATAATTAGCTGTCTCGGATCATTCGACTTTATTGCTGTGCTCTAAATCGCTTTCACCAATGTGCTACAACCCTAACGTATTATTACATCGGTCACTCTTTCTCTTGAGATGGACTAATTACATCATTCGTTAACATCACAAAATACATTACGATGTCAGATTGAATAGCTTCGACCGAACTAGAACCAACATACAAGCAATTAAAATATATTATTATTGCATTTACTTTAGTATGCAATTTTATTTAATTATTAGCTGTTCCGGTGCGACTTCATCCGCATGAAATTATAAAAACTATATTTTATTGTTTACATTCGTCAAATTATCAATAGCAAAATGACATGACATGATGGCAACCTCGCTTCCTTGAATTGGCAGCAACTTATGGTCTCTTTCCCACATTAGGGTTTTTATCCAAAATATTTACCCCCTAAGTTTAATGACGTGAAAATATATAGCCTAAAGCGTGAAGTAAGTGTAGGGCTTTTAATAAAAAAGAGAATTATTCAAAAATATGCTGTAATTGCTGACATCTTAG